TCGAGCAGAGTTCAACTGGTCTATCATGCACTATCACTATGGCAGCAGCTTTCACTACTTCCTGTATGTTCTCACCAAAGGGGAGGAGCTTAGCCCAGAGGACGCTGCATTGGAGAGGAGACTGCTCATGGAAGCTGAGGCCCCGCCCACCGAAGTAAAATTTCAGGAAGCGGATTCTGAGGACTTCCTTGCGTCTGCTATAGAATTTGGCAGCTCTCAGTGGCCGTAAAGGATCTTGATTCCCTGAGGGTTGAGTGCTGGTATGACAGCTGTTAGCACACTAGAAATGCTGCAGCTACAGAGTGTCATCATTATAGTCTGTCCACAATTCTGTGTGTTGGCTGTCTGCATACACACACACACACACACACACACACATACACATATATGCTCTTCGCTGCTGGGCAGATGGTGGCTTTGAGCTCAGGGTCCTTGAAGGAGACATTCACGGCGGCGAAGAGAAAGAGCAGACAACGATATGAAGACGAGAGCATGCTGTTACTAATGCCCCTGGAGGATGCTGTGAGTTGCTTTGTTAAAGTACTTTCTGGCTGCTAACAAGCAGGAGGAAGATTCTAGGTCATAAAATTACACGTTTCCGCAACCTCACATGCCCGGCTCTGCGCACGGTTAGATCAAATTAAGTAGCGCTGATTAAAATGTAGTGTTTTTTTCTTATTTTCTGTGTGTGAAACATTAAGTTAGGTTGAAAAAAGTAAAATATGACTCTTTATAATAGACAATATCTGCCTGTTGGCTTCCTTGGATATTAAAGAACCGATGGAATCAAAAGTGGTGTTTTGTTGCTTTTAGGTAAATTACTTTTTGTAGCAGATGCTTTATGCTTTGTAAAAAAAAAAGAGCCAACAATTTAGTTATAAGCTAATTCTCTTTTAGCAGATATAATGCAACATATACAACTCACGAGCAAGTAGAAAGCCATGCTTTGTGACATAACTTAAGACTATTTCATTTAACACTGCAACCTGACTTCCTCACATATAAAATATTTTTGTCTTTCAAAATAGCAAACCTTACCCAACAAACTCTTTATCACATGCATACATACACAAATCCCCTCAGCCTTTGCCAATTTGTAGCCGATTTTTTTTTTTTGCAAGTTTCCTCAGCCGTCAGCAGTTCTTCATCCAATTAAAAACAAAACAAAACACCTGAAAAAGTGCACCAAGAGAAGGGCTGCAGCCTAATACATATACTATCCACACTAAATATTCTGTACTATTTAGTATGCAAGACTAGGATTAGTCCAGCCGAAATCATACAGGTATGTTTAATGTTTCATTATGGATTAATGCATGATTTTTAAAGTTAAATATTTCCCACTATCCCTTGTGTTGTAGAAAAGGAGATTATGGCTGCATCCGAAAACGTCCGAATTCAATGTTAGCTTCTGTTCCTGTCTCCTGAGATGCCTTCATCTGGCCGATTTTTGAAGGCAGCATTGATGTATCCTTCGCTGCCTTTGATATACCACAATCCTGTGCATTCCTTTCTGTGACAGTTAAGCTAAAAATTAAAGATGGCATCTGAAAGTTGTGATCGGTGGTCAATTAGTGTGTAAATGTAAGTTTTTGATCAACGTTTTCCACTTTTGCTGTCATTTCTAGCGAGAAATTAATATTGCAGTAATGAAATATTCACTTAGTTATCACCAAAGCTCTCTATATTTTGCTGTAGATCATTAAACCGTTACGCTGCCTCAGAAGCCTGTCCGAAAACAGTTTCATGAGGTGCCGTGCAAAAATGCTGCCTGCAAAGTCATTGCCTCATACGGCAGTGAGGCAGCAAGTCAGCATGTTTGTATGCAGATATTTATTTTTTAAAGGGGAATAGAATATTACACTACTGTTCAAAAAATTTTTTTTTAATAAATACTTTTATTCACCAAGGATTCATTAAATTGGCCGAAAGTGACAATGAAAATGTAAAGTGACAAAATTATTTTATTTATAATAAATGCTGATCTTTTGAACGTTCATCTAAGAATCTTTTGTCTAAGAACTCATCTAAAAATCTTGAAAAATGTATCATGGTTTCCACAAAAATATTAGACAGCACAACAGATATTAGACAGTTTTCAACATTTGTAATAGTACAAAATGTTTCTTAAGCACCAAATCAGCATAGAATGATTTCTGAATGATCATGTGACACTGTAATGATGCTGAAAATTGTGCTTGAATTCCATTTTAAAATACATTCAAATAAAAATCTGTTATTTTAAATTGTAATCATATTTTACAGTATTACTGTTTTACTTTATTTCAAATAAATGCAGCCTAGGTGAGCATAAGATACTTTTTTTTTCAATACCAAAAAATAAATTCTTACGTTTTAGAGGTTGTTATATGGCTGTCATCGGGTGTTTGTAGAAGCAACTTCTATAATAAAACAAATATTAATAACAGTATTCATTTTAAATCAAGGCCACTGTATTCTTGGCCCTTGTTTCAGATGGCTATAAAACTAATATTATGTAAAAAACAGATAATTTACAGCAGTGTATAAATAATGATTCATTGATCACTGTAGACAAAGATGTTAATAGTCATTGATTTAAATGACCTGCTTTTTAGTGTCTGTAATGATGGCTTTGGATGAAACATGATTTAGTGAGCAGTTCACCATTAAACAGAGTGTTTTGAACTGAAGGTTAGATGTAATTGTTGTAAGACCCATATTGTGGGAAGTGTGTGATGCTGACATTATCCTATGATACAGTAAGTGGAGCGAGATAATTATTATAATGACAACAGTAATGCTGCCTGTGAGGTCAGATTTTATTGAAGAAAACCCTCTCTCTTTGTTAACCACGTCCATTCGTTCTTATATTTTTTTGTGTCAAAGCAAAGCAAAAAAACAATAACGAACAAAGGCGCATTGACGTATGGCTGTATTGTGTGTGATCCAGGGTTTAGTGTTCACCGCTCTCTTTGTTAACCACGTCCATTCGTTCTTATATTTTTTTGTGTCAAAGCAAAGCAAAGCAAAAAAACAATAACGAACAAAGGCGCATTGACGTATGGCTGTATTGTGTGTGATCCAGGGTTTAGTGTTCACCTTGAGAGTGGTTTGGTGATGTTCCAGGATGGCCCAGTGTGTGTCAGAGGGTCATTAATCCGAGGCAGAGAGAGATCAATAAACCTGATCATTAGTCTCATCAGCTGCTAACGACGAGCTGAGATCATCTGATTCGCCTACAGATCTGGCACTTCACCCTGGAGAAACTGTTTAGTGTCATGTTTACTGTGTTTCATGATGGAACGTTGCCTGTAAAGAGACACAACCATGGCTGATGGTTTTTACTGTCACAGGGCAAGCAGATCTGCTTGCTTTTACAAATAAAGAAATAGGAAATGTGATGAAATTCTGTTATTTCTCACCCTGATGTCTTTCAAACGTGACATTTTCCTACTGTTTTCATAGGATAATTTTGGGACAGACAGAAACTGAAGCTTTATTTGTAGAAGATAGTTCTCAAATCTCTCTGCTTGCTTTCAATTCAAATGTGACATGCTATGCAAGGTTTGACGTCAGTGAAGCCAAATGTGATTGGTTGACGTCAAAACTGATGCAACACATCTTGACGTGCCATATTTGAATTGACTAAGACACAGCAGGAAGATTTTAAGTGAATCTTTATCCACGTTTTGGTCATATTGACTGCTTTAATTATTATTTAATTTTTGGAAGAACTAATCCTTTTAAGAATCAAAACTCATAGTTTGAGTACATTAATCTAGGATTAAGTTGTGATCAGGTAACTGGATGACATTAAACATAGAAACATTTATTTCAAACTGAGAGAAAGAAAGTGCGACTCTCATTCCTGTTGAAGTTCTCAGTGGAAGGTTCTCTTTCTATTCTCTCTTCTCTCACACTCTCGGCGGATTCCATGTTGACACCTGGAGGAGTGAATTATTCATTTCTTCAGGCAGATGAAGAATGGGTGGCAGGGGCACGTGATGCACACACACTTACATACAGTACACAAACACTCAAACATGCTCATGGGCATGGGTATACTGTATATACACTACTGTTCAAAAGTTTGGGGTCAGCAAGACTTTTTTCTTTTAAGAAATTAATATTTTATTTAGGAAGGATGCATTAAATTGATCAAAAATGACAGTAAAGAAAACGTTGATATTTATTTGGAACTAATTATTCTATCAGTAATCTAATTGTAATAATAATAATCAGATGATTTGTTTTGCCCCACAGGTCAGTCGTGTTTTGAAACCTGGTGACCGTTTCATCTCTGTCACATTTGCGCAGCCACATTTTCGTAAGAGACTCTACGCTCGAGCAGAGTTCAACTGGTCTATCATGCACTATCACTATGGCAGAAGCTTTCACTACTTCCTGTATGTTCTCACCAAAGGGGAGGAGCTTAGCCCAGAGGACGCTGCATTGGAGAGGAGACTGCTCATGGAAGCTGAGGCCCCGCCCACCGAAGTAAAATTTCAGGAAGCGGATTCTGAGGACTTCCTGAATAACATTGGATTATAGGGACATGTCAAGCACCTGTCAATCAAAAGACTACTGACAGAAGTTGTACAGACATTTTTATAATTTTTTTCTTGTGCTCCGATCCTTTAAAGGAACAGTTGACCCAAAAAAATACACTTCTATTTATTATTATTATTATCATAATTTTGTTCCAAATTAATTTGATTTAATTTCTTTCATGGAACAAAAAATAGTTTGTTGTTGTTGTTGTTGTTATTGTTGTTTTTGGAGCTCGACATGGCCCGTCTCCATTCACTTTCATTTACTTATGTGTTCCAGGGAAGAAAGAAAGTCATACAGGCTTGCAACAACATGAGGTTGAGTAAATGATGACAGAAATATAATTTTTGGGTGAACTATCACTTTATCAGTTTGCTTGACTACATGAGGAAAGGATTATTCTGTTTTTTATTTTTTTTTTCCGGTGATGTTAAGGACAGTATTGCTCTGAAATTAAACAAAACACAGCAACTTCCCCTCTGAGATCCTGTAATATTTTGAAATGACATGCTTGACTTTTACGCCATTCTATACTGGTTTAGAGTTGGTTCAATACTTGGACTTGGAGCAACTATATGCTTTTAAACTATTTATTTTTAAGTATCTTGTATATTTAAAAAGAAAAACTTTTTTTACTATGCTTTTTTTAGGATGCTTTGATGTGAATTTTTACTCTGTTCTGCAGTTTCTCTTTCTCTTTCACTCTCTCTCTGGCCTATTTCTCTGTGCAATTGTCTTGATTGGTATGACAAGGTTGAGTGCTTGACACCTGCACACTTGTGCAGAGACAAATCTGTCACAAACGCTTCTCAAACAACAAATAAACAGACAGACAGAAAACAAACAGCCCTGCTGTGTTCCAGAATATGACAGACGTGTCTGCACTCTTTTGGATGAGGAATGGCTGCATTGAATTGGAGGAGGCCATTAATAAACCAGAAATCATTTATTTTTAATTTAGCTCTGGAATGTAATTACCGTCTATTTTTAAGACTTGAGGAAGGTGCCTGAATTTTTCAGAATTTCAGAACAGCCTTCTGTGTGCCAGTGTGAACATAGATTGAAATGTTACACTGGGATTTTTATAGTAAATAGAGGAAAGTTATTCTTGAACCAGGAGAGACCAAAACACATTTAAACCCACACTATGTTGTGGGTGGTTGCCAAGGTGTCATGAGTTATTTTTAGAATGTTGCTAGGTGGTTGCTAAGATGTTCTGAATGCAAAAGTGTACCAATGTACCAATTAATTAGTAGTGATTCATATATCAGTAGCTTCATTAACGTGTCCAGATTGAATATGTTATCTGTGAAAGCTGATGATGTAGTCACAGGTCTTTCCCCTTCACTGAAGCGCTAAGCAATGACGTCAGGGCATGGATGGTATCAGATGGACGCTGGTGTCAGGTGAGCTGCACATATCAGGTGTAGATTTATTCTGTGATCGTATCCTCACGACATGCTGTGTAACAGTTCTTCAGGAACCCAGTGCTGCCTAAACACCATAAAGCTGCTGCAGAGAACAGGAGACCTTGATTAGTCTAATGGCCGGTTATGTGGCCTTTACCCCCTCGCAGTGCAAACCCACACGCAAGCTATGCTTTATATTGACCTTTAAAACCATGATATTCAATAATGTACTTTTGAATAATTGATTACGAGTCATTTCAGAAGTGTACTTGTGAGATATTTTCTGAGCTGGTGTCTTGTCTTGGAGAAGAACTGGAACAGTCCTTGTATGGTGCTCAGCTAATTTAATTCTGCATGTCATGGACAGTTGTTGTTATATTGACAACAATGATACCTTGTTTGAAAGTTGAAAAATGTTAAAAAGCCTTAAAAGTTTTATTAACTTGAACAGATGGATGCATGGATGGATAGATAGATAGATAGATTAGATTGATGTGAATCCAAAGATGGATTAAAAATAGATAGATAGATAGGATGGAGTAGATAGCTAGACAAACGGACGGACAGATAGACTGGCAGATGGATGGATATGTGTATGGATGGATAGATGTGAATCCATGGATAGATAGATCTACGGGCCAGACAAACAGATTGACGGAATAACCAACATAGACCAACAGATGGACGGAAAAATGGACAGACAGATAGATAGATAGATAGATAGATAGATAGATAGATAGATAGATAGATAGATAGATAGATAGATTCAAAGAATTGACAGGGAACCTGTTCTTTAATATTGAATTTTGCTCAGAGCTAATTTTGAATGGTTGTCAGAGATGGGCATAAATACATGTAAATGTATTTAAATACAAATACAAAATACTGTGGAAAAATATATTTAAATACAAATACAGTATTTTGTATTTTGAAAATACACAAAATACATGTGAAATTGGCCATCCAGTGCAGGTATCCCTATAGGTTGAAATCTCTCTGGACCTATTCTTGAGAAAGAAACGAAAGAAAGAAACAAACAAACAAACAAACACACATTTCGATGTGTACAACTGCTTAGAAACTTTTGTTTTCATTTTACATACCTTTTCCCTTCCCCTACCCTGAAACTACCAAAAAAAAAAGGCATATTTATTTCATGTTAAGTTTATTTTGTTGTATATAACATTTATTCAAATGAGAAAGTTTATCTAAAATGTAAATTTTAAAATTAGAATTAATTTAAGATTTTTTGTGAAGAACCATTCATCAGTGTCTTCACAAATTAAGTTGTTGATGACAGACAGTGATTAACCGAATTATTTTGTCTCTACATAAACATACATTTGGATGGGATGGGTGGATGGATGAACACAGTCACCTGATTTTGTAAATGTGACATGTTTCATTGAGCACCAAGTTTGCATGTCTAAAATTTAAAATGCTTACATTTACAAAATGAGCCTGCAATATCATAAATAATTAATAAAGTAATGGTCCATGTTAAATACAAACATTAATTAAAAGAAAATGTTTAATGAATTAAAAAAAAGCATAAAGCATTATTTAATTTAGTGTTATACATATGTTATCATATTTATATGGTTTGGTCTAATGTCACAAATCATAATCTCAAGTTTACTGCATTTTACACAATTCTTTGAATTCTTTTGTGTGGTTTTAAGAAGTGTACTCAAAAACATTTTCACACGTTTCTTCCAAAATTACCCACAACCTAATCAGTTTATATGTGAAAAAATCCATTTATTCACAAACTTCTCACGAAACGACTGTTTGACAAACTACTCGGCAAACTACTTCCTCCCACTGCTGCTTTCTGATGGTTTGGAGAGCACTTACTCCAAGTCGCCCCCCTGTCATTTCACAGAATTATACAATGGCGAGCACATCAAGTATAATCCAAAGATGGATTAAAAATAGATAGATAGATAGGATGGAGTAGATAGCTAGACAAACGGACGGACAGATAGACTGGCAGATGGATGGATATGTGTATGGATGGATAGATGTGAATCCATGGATAGATAGATCTACGGGCCAGACAAACAGATTGACGGAATAACCAACATAGACCAACAGATGGACGGAAAAATGGACAGACAGATAGATAGATAGATAGATAGATAGATAGATAGATAGATAGATAGATAGATAGATAGATAGATTCAAAGAATTGACAGGGAACCTGTTCTTTAATATTGAATTTTGCTCAGAGCTAATTTTGAATGGTTGTCAGAGATGGGCATAAATACATGTAAATGTATTTAAATACAAATACAAAATACTGTGGAAAAATATATTTAAATACAAATACAGTATTTTGTATTTTGAAAATACACAAAATACATGTGAAATTGGCCATCCAGTGCAGGTATCCCTATAGGTTGAAATCTCTCTGGACCTATTCTTGAGAAAGAAACGAAAGAAAGAAACAAACAAACAAACAAACACACATTTCGATGTGTACAACTGCTTAGAAACTTTTGTTTTCATTTTACATACCTTTTCCCTTCCCCTACCCTGAAACTACCAAAAAAAAAAGGCATATTTATTTCATGTTAAGTTTATTTTGTTGTATATAACATTTATTCAAATGAGAAAGTTTATCTAAAATGTAAATTTTAAAATTAGAATTAATTTAAGATTTTTTGTGAAGAACCATTCATCAGTGTCTTCACAAATTAAGTTGTTGATGACAGACAGTGATTAACCGAATTATTTTGTCTCTACATAAACATACATTTGGATGGGATGGGTGGATGGATGAACACAGTCACCTGATTTTGTAAATGTGACATGTTTCATTGAGCACCAAGTTTGCATGTCTAAAATTTAAAATGCTTACATTTACAAAATGAGCCTGCAATATCATAAATAATTAATAAAGTAATGGTCCATGTTAAATACAAACATTAATTAAAAGAAAATGTTTAATGAATTAAAAAAAAACATAAAGCATTATTTAATTTAGTGTTATACATATGTTATCATATTTATATGGTTTGGTCTAATGTCACAAATCATAATCTCAAGTTTACTGCATTTTACACAATTCTTTGAATTCTTTTGTGTGGTTTTAAGAAGTGTACTCAAAAACATTTTCACACGTTTCTTCCAAAATTACCCACAACCTAATCAGTTTATATGTGAAAAAATCCATTTATTCACAAACTTCTCACGAAACGACTGTTTGACAAACTACTCGGCAAACTACTTCCTCCCACTGCTGCTTTCTGATGGTTTGGAGAGCACTTACTCCGAGTCGCCCCCCTGTCATTTCACAGAATTATACAATGGCGAGCACATCAAGTATAAAAGCCTTGTCCGTTTAGGGAGGAGCGGGCAGTCAGCAGGTTCGTGGCGTAAAGCCAGTCGAAAGTATAAACAAGGCTTCAACTGCACAAAACACTTCCACTACGACAGAAATCGTGAACTGCTCGGTGATTCCACCGCTTGCCACGTCCCGTGTGAAAGGTCCTTCAAAGGGTTAGTTCACCTATAAATGAAAATTCTGTCATTAATTACTAACCCTCATGTCGTTTCAAACGTGTAAGACCTTCGTTCATCTTCGGAACACAA